ATAACATAATATATTTCAACCCCCATTTCGAGGAACGATGGATCCAACTCAAAAAAAAAAACAAAAAAGAGACCATTTATTAAGTATATATATATATATATATATATATATAAAATAAATTTGTGAATGGTGATAAAAAAAACACATAAATTAAGTGTTCCTCTCTCTTTACAATCTACAAAAATATAAAAGTAAAACTTCTTAGAGTATAGATAATATAGGTATAGGTACATACTTAACATTATAATAATTTGTGTAGGAGACTAATGACTTTTGTTTTAGAAGACTGTTTTTTTTTAGAACGACTTCCTTGGTCGGGGTTAATTTTAAGAAAATATCTCTGTATCATTTCCAAGAGGTTGGACACCTCATTTGGATATGCTAAGTTAAAGATGTAGTGTAATCCGAAAGCAATTTCAATTGCAATTATTAAATCACGTACACATTTGAATGGTTTCCTCTCCAGTATGACCCAATATTCTTTCGGTTCTGGTTTATCTAAAAATAAAAAAGAATTTGTTAAGATACGGAAACAGTAAAATAAACCTAGAACAAACAATCCCACACAATATATAATCAAAACCGCACTTGCGTACAGACGTTACGAGCTCGTACAGCAACAAATAAAATGTTTATTATGCATGGGCAAAACACGATCATCACTTCTATTGAATCATCCGGTGTGATACCCGAAACGGACAAGAAAACTTTTTACCCCTATTCAGGGGGATGCTGGTAATTAATTTTGTTTGGCAGAAACTCACCTATTTCAATAATGCAGGGAGAATTTATCTCGACTAAATTATTTATATTGTTTTCGGCAAAATCTTCTTCCTGAAACAAAAAAAATTTATGCATCCACGATACGAAACTATCACAAGGAGGGAGAAAATTTCAAATCTGATTTATTTGATATATACGAGTAGTAGACAGAGGCCCATCTGTATCATTGTACAGTAGTATAAGTAAATGCTTGAAAGTAGGAACTTATATTTGATTGTATGTACAGGTTGAATTTAAAAATAAAAATTTTATTCAGACTGTACATACCTGCAATCAGATATAAGTACCTATACCCTCCAATAAAAAGCTGAACAACTTCATAAAATTCAAACTTGTTGCAAAAAATTGGAAATTTGACCTTCAGTCCATATTTCTGTATCCTCGTCTGTATCATAGTTATGATACCCAAAAAATGGTCTCGAGGGAAATTTGTGTGTACTAAACACCGACATACTAATGGTGATAGGTGGATCAACTGAAGCAACATTTAAACACAACGTGCAATGTAAGGTTTTCATAAATTATTATTATCTTACCTTAACTTTATACATAAATTTCTTCAGGTTTTCTTTAAAGTATCCACAGAAAACTTCCAAAACGTTTTGTGGGGCATTGTCTGTATTTTCAATAAGGTTGTTTTTTTTACCGAATTGTATGATTTTAGATGCCTTGGCATTTAGTCTACTTCCTATACAATTCAATTCAACGGTAGTAAGTTTTTGAAAATGCCAATAGAAACAATGAAGTGATTTTTGAAGAATTGGCCATTCGTTTAGCACTTCTTCTATGGAAGGCGTGTCTTCGGTTTTGTTTATTAATTTTCGGATGTCTGGGTATGTAACTGTCAAATATTCGTGAAATCTTTCATTTGTCTCTTCTATCGAGTTGTTGTTTAATGCATTTTTGATATTTTCTTTTTCGTCATGGTGAACCAATTCGGGATCCCAATTGATACTCCCACTTGTTAGATTAGACATTTTCTTTGCCAATTTAGGGGGGATTGGGGAAGAAGATTTGCTGCCCCTCTTATGAGGGCGATTAAGGTAATTATTCCTTTCTATTAATTTCGCAGTAAGGGTATGAGACCCATCCCCAATAATTTTATTATCATCGTCAATGTCTTGAAATATTGGACATTTTTCAATAATTTTATGCGCTATTAATTTAAATGCTTTCGTTGGTATTTTTAATTTAAACTGTCGCATTTCATTAACTATAATGTGGACCATGTCAGTTTGAATCCTCCACCTCGTTTGCAACAAATCCTTTAATTTTTCTGGATTTTTTAAAATGTCTTGCGAAATTGCTTTTGATGCTTGGACCATCATATCGTTGGGAATTTTCTTCCATGGAATTTCAAATGTTTTCCATAAAATTTCGTAATTGACTTCGTATTCAGCAACATTCTCCGATGGTCCAGGCACAACAGTGAAATCTGATACCGGTTCTGGGAGGTTTGCCGGGAAAACAATGGGAGTATTTGCAAGTTCCGCGCAGGTGTCATCGGTAAGTGCAGTAACAGTTGATGCCAATGAGCAGGAGCTTACGTCCGAAGACACACTTACTGGAAGCCATAGTTGATCTCTTGTTAGTAGCATTAATGTTTCTTTAGAGTAGTACTTTAACGTGGCATCTTCATCTACCACGCTTCCATCACTTTCCAACACCAAAACAGATCCATCTACGTTGATTTTGGCAGAAGCTAAATAAAAAGCATTAAAATGTGGTAGCACGTTTGCGGCTGGTCAAAAATATCTCGAAAAGGACTACTGCTATCATTGAAATCATTTAAAATGTTACTCTTTCTTCTAATCAAATAAGATCATAAATTTATTTGTGTGTTTTTTTAAATGAAGATACTAAAATACGTGAATAGAAATGGAAGCCTATTTCTGAATGTGATTAGGTTCTTACCTTTTAATATAAGCTGAGTCCAAATATTCTCCTCTGAATCAATGGGAACCGTGCATTTCAGTTGACGCGTCTGATCCCATACTTTAAACACGTACATGATTACGACTGCAAGCAAAGAAAGAGCAGTACCTGAACAAATCATTGTCGTATTAACATAAACAATAAAAAACATTATCCCTGCTTAATGCACACGTTTATCCTACCGAATGTCGCAGAGTGATGGGGTACCATAATGCTTATTGCGAGTTACAGTTGATACCCAAATAAATTTACATAAAAGTCATATACGGGATAATGTAAAAACGAACTGAAATAAGTGGTTGAAAATTTCCTGGAATTTAGCTACGGGTCTGTTAGAACACTACAATACGCGTAAGTATTTGAAATCACCATAAATGCAAGAGCAATAATATTATGCGAAATAAGTGAATATGCGATATTTACAATTAAAAGGTTTCATAGGGGGCCGATTTGAAGCTGTAATAATAACACTCATCTGGTGCCTTGTATTCTAGTAATGTCTCGTGACAAATTATTTCATCAAAAGGTACCAATGCAAATTCAACGTTTTCGCCTCTGACGTGTAGACCAAGTTCTTCATTATGCATAATATCAAAAGACTGCCCATAAAAATAGATCGTATTTTTCGATGTTTTTGATAAAATGTGAGAAATGTGAAACGCTACAAAATTTCCCATTTCGTTTCTTTTCCAACATACTTGCATTCCTTTTTTGTATAGTATTCCGTGAAACATTACATCTTTGCTGATGTAAATGGCTTCCTCGTCAATTCCAATCCGACACGCAATTGCCTGGTTCATCTCATCAGGATAGTCAATAGGACTATAGTAGATTGCTTCATCGTTAAAAATAATGTTATTGTTATAGACGATATCCTGGGATAAATCTAAAGATTGAGAAAGTTGATGTTTCGTTGAAAGAGATAATAATATATTCTTGAAACATGATGTGTGCTTAACAACGTTTTTGAAATATTGGTGTTTATTTTCAAATCGAAGTGTCCAAAGGTGACGCAATGGTCCAAACATTTTTATTAAAAAGGGATAATGTGTCAAATAATGATGTTTGGGTTTCATAGTTTCATTGGGAAAAAACGACCCCCTCAATACAATATATTCCTTTATATAGTTATGTAAAAGAGCTATCTGGTCTGTGCTAATTCTGAAACCTAAAAGAATTAACAGTATCTTATGTAAACGAAGCATAATCTTCCATAATTCTGTTTGAATTACGTGTTCTCTTCCAATACCAAAGAACGGAAGAACCAGCAAAAACCGCATGTTCTGAGTTGCTGTACCAACAAGCTTATCGTGTTTTTTTACATCTGGAAGAATAACGGTCGGTTCGTTGGTAAATTTTTAAGATTAAACGAACTTACCTTAAGTGAAGTTCAATCTAAATTTTATGAAGCATCTCGTCCGAATAGATCATATAGTGTAGTGTAGTTGTTTCAGTGTTCGCGCCACGAAATTTAAAGCCAATGTAAAAACTTACGCTCCCTCTACTTTCCCCTCTTGTCGCGCTTGCAACGGGCTTCATTTTTTACAGCCATTCTGCTTCTTTGTTGCAACTCCAAAAAATAGGGCTGGGAAGGGAGGGCTATGATCTATTCGGACGAGATGCTTCATAAAATTTAGATTGAACTTCACTTAAGGTAAGTTCGTTTAATCTTAAAATTTTATTTCGCATCTCGTCCTCTAGATCATATAGTGTAGATGTTTAAAGCAGTTGCAACCAAACGAGCAGAAACCAAGAAAGGATTTTATTCCTTACAATGACAACGATCTAAAGTTATACAACTAAATCTAAGGTTACAATAATCCTAAAATGGCATTTGCCACCGACTGCTCTTCTAACACTGGTCGATTATAAAACTGAGCAAATACCCGTGATGAAGCAGACCAACCTGCTGTATTTCTAATAACGTCTAGACTGACGCCCTTTCTTGCAGCCATGGAGGTAGCAGCGTGTCTAGTACTATGTGCAGTAAAAATCTTGGTGTCGATACCACATTCAGCCAGAGTACTCTTAATCCAACGACTGATTGACTGAGTCGATGCGGTCTTGTGCGGTTTTCTAAATGTAATGAACAAGTTTGAAATCATCGGCGTTCTTAAGGTTTCTGTTCTCCCCAAGTAGTGTTGTAAAGTACTTGCCACACATAAAGCCGGCTTTTCATGAAAGAAAGGAATTTCCAGTATTGGTTGGAAGCTTTTAGGTCCTGAGGTTTTTATTCTATCTGGAATCCTTATCTGAATTTTGTCCTCGTTCAAAATAATATTTTTAACTCTGATCAGAGACAACGTCTGCACTCGATGTGCGGTTATTAGTATTAGTAACGTAACAAGCTTACGTGTTAGTTGTTCCAAACTTAAGTCCTGGTTAGGGTAGTATGTTGATAAATGGCTTAAAACTATGGTAGGATCCCAAGTATGTTTGTATTTGGGAGAGGATGGTCTTAACTTAAAGACCCCTCTAAAAAACCGTTTAATTCTAGCGTCAGACCCTACTTCTGGTGAAAGTATTAACGAGAGGGCTGACCGAACGGTATTAAGATTACTGTAAAGCGGGGTTCACATTTGTGCATTTCCATGCTGCAACTGTGATGCGGCATTAAAATGCTTGCATTTTTCCCCTTCACATTATGCATTTTTTCTTGCAATTTTTGATGCGCATGGAAATGCATGCTTTAGACCACGTTCTATTTTGTATGCATTTTTTGGCGCATCTTTAGTAATATTTTTAGGAATATTTCTCTTGCCAATAGCTAGAATTAAGTTTGCAACGAAAAGTTCGTTGACTCATGGCTGTTTATGTTTCTTAACCTTACATTTTAATTTTAAACAGTTTGGAATTGGGTTAATTATTTTATTTAGTGTTAAAAATGAACCGTGAAATACGTGCTTTTCCATGGTCGCGTACCTTAGTGGAGGACCTTATAATTTTGTACGAAGCGCAACCCTTATTGTATACAACGAAAATGAAAGAATATAAGAATAAAATGAAACGGCAAAATGCAATACAATCAATAAAAAATGAATTGATGAAAAAGTATCAGGTTGAGTGCCGCAATTTAACGGACCAAGACATAATTAAAAAAGTACACGTAATTCGGACGCAATTTAAGAAAGAGGTGGCACTATTAAAAAAATTTTTGTCCAGTGGTTGTTCAGCAGATTCCTACGAACCGAAACTTTGGTGTTTTGACATGCTGCAGTTTTTAAACGAATGCGATCCAGTGAGGGAAAGCCAATCAAATATTGAACCATCAGTAAGTATTTATTTATAAGGTTTTTAAAATAATCACATTGTAATTGATTTTAAGGAGACCCAAATATTCACGCCCAATGGTACTACAGTTACATATGATGAGGATATTGTGTTTGAAGGCACGCTGGAAGACCTGGATGAATATGAAGTTGATGCTTTCAATAACAGTCCATGCACTTCACAAACATCGACATCAAGGGCAACTACACCTACAGTATCAAAAAGCAAGAGGAAAATGCAGAACTCTGTGGCAGACCTAATCCAAACCGCTGTACAATCCCTCGAAAGTTGCAAAAAAAGGCCCCACATTGAAGATGAATTTGATATATTTGCAAAGTAAGTGTTTTAAATAGCAATTAAATAAGTTGCCAGTGATAAATATTAAAAAAACTATCAATTTTTATTATGTTGTAGGACAATCGCAACAGAGTTGAGGAAAGTCGAAGACCCTTACAAAATACGGATGTTGAAGAAGGAGATATTTACAAAAGTTGTTGATGCTCAATATGATTAGATTTTATTTTGTACATTTGTTTATTGATAATAATAATGCTATGCTAAGTCATTTTGCCATTCTACTGCTCCTATACCATTTACATATTGTACAAATTCATTTCGATTATCAAGTGCTGATGCAGTTGACCTGTTGCCTGCTTGTCGACTTAAGGTGTACTTAAATGTGAATCGCCTATCAATGTTCTGTTCCTTAACATCATAACCATTTGGGGACCTTGTTCGCAAAAAATTATGTAGCACAATGCATGCTAGAGTTAATGTTTGGGCCTTACTTGGGTCCAAACTTATAATGTTCAATAATACACGAAAACGATTTGTTAATATCCCAAATGCGTTCTCCACAACTCTTCGTGCTCTGCTTAGGCGATAATTGAATATACGTTGTTGCCAAGTCATATTACGAAATGGAAACGGCTTTAAAATATGACGGGATAATGGAAATGCTGCATCAGCAACTATTACATATGGTACTGGTTTGGTACCCGCTGGCAATGGTCTTTCCTCTGGAAAATTTAATTTGTTTGTTTCAATCGCTGCAGCAAGTGAACTATTCTTGTATACACCCCCATCTGAAATTTTTCCATTTCTACCCACATCGACATATAAAAAGCTATAATTGGCATCAACCAAAGCCAATAGTACGATACTGTGTGTGTGCTTATAATTAAAATATGACGATCCTTCATTTGCGGGAGCTTTTATAACAACGTGTTTACCATCTAATGCACCTAACACATGTGGCAAGTTCCATCTTTCTTCAAATTCATTAGCAATTTTTAACCATTCTTGGGTTGTAGTAGGCATCTAAAAATATTATTTAGTTAAACATCATTTTTATTCATTGTCGAGTGTAGCTGTATCTACCTTTAAATACTGATTTTTTAAATTATTGTAAATGGCAATGCAAACTTCTGGGATTATTCCAGCAATTGTTGATTGTCCCATTCTAAATGAAAAGGAAAGACTTTTATAAGACTCGCCAGTAGCTAGATGGCGCAATGTAACAGATAATCGGTCTTTGGCCGAAATTGCATTCCTGAATTTAGTGTCCTGTTTCTGTATATCATTTTCAATAAGTTTCAATAGATCATTGAAAGTATCTTCATCCATTCTAATAAAATTCTTGTAATTTTCTTTATCCAGCACTGCTAATTCATTGTGCAACAAATTAGAATTGCCTTGACTATTTGTTTCCCGTTGCTCAATCCATGGTCTTACCCACCACCGTCTCTTACGATTTAATAATAAAGCTGCAGATGCACCAATTATAAGTGTTATTAGAACAATTTCTTCCACATCCATACTTCAAGTATTTGAACTTTGAGGGAAAAATTTATAAGAAAAACACTTTTATTTTTTACTCCAGAATGCCAATTGAGGAGAACTGGGTTGGCAAAAAGTAAATTCCCTAACTAGTGATATTTGTAATTGCATCAAAAATTGCAGTAATCTGAATAGCTACGCGCGCATGAAAAAATGCAGCAACTTGATGCGCCATCAAATGCAGCATGAAAATGCACAAATGTGAACCCCGCTTAACTAAATCCTCTATTAAACAAATCGCTTAAAAAACTTAAAATGTTGTTAAAGTTGAGAATAAAGGGATCGAATTTGTTTCCTACACAGAAATCCCACCATAATTTTAAGCCATGGTTATATTGACTTATTGAGGATTTGGTCAGCGAGGCGAGGGATACTTCCACGGCCATCTCTGGAATTCCCTTGTTTTCTAAGGCTAGCCTGATAACAGTCCTGCTACCAGGGTAAGGGTTACGTGCAGCGGATGTGGCGTCCTATCAGCAGATAACAACAAGTTAGGATTAGGTTTGAAATAAATAGGTGGTTTAATTAATAATGCATTAAATAATGGCCACCAAGGTTGTGTAGGCCAAAAGGGAACAACCAAAACCCCTTCCGCGTTATCGGACTTAATTTTCTGAAGTACTCTGAGAATTAACGCGAAAGGAGGGAAAGCATAAAAATTTTTATCAACCCAATTTACAGTGAAGGCATCCACTGCTTCTGCTCCTGGGTCCCTAAGCCAGGAAAAATATCGTTCACACTTATTATTGGTTCTAGAAGCGAAAAAATCTATGTCTGGATGTCTTAAATCGGTACAGATTTTCCGGAAGGCAAGATCACATAACTCGTATTCAGATTCAGAAACCTTACGCCTCGATTCGCGATCTGCTTCAACATTATCGGAAGATTGAATATACGAAGCAAAAATCCATAATTCGCGTTTCTCACACCACTGCCAAATATCTCGAGTCAACGTATTTAAATGTGGATACTGGACACCCCCCATTCTGTTTATATAAGATATAGCAGTGGTATTGTCTATTCTGAGTAAAATATTGGTTTGTTTAAAATTAGCTGCAAAGCACCTCAAACCAAAAAAGGCTGCCTGCAACTCCAAAAAATTGATATGATTTTTGCTTTCCATTCGTGTCCAGAATCCATGAGAAAAAGGAAAAAGGCCAACGTGTTTCATTCCTCCGGCACCCCTGACTACAGGGATACCGGAGGCGGGCTGCTCAGGGCTTCCTGGCCCTCTTCAGCCAGAGAACGGGATTGTTAGGATGGGTAAAGTTAGGGATGGGAACGGAAGGAACGGAGATAGGGTGCTGAGGGGGAGAGTACTGCTCCAGCATTCGCCTCGTAGATTTCAACATAATGCTAGCGTTATGCGAAGCTACGTATGTCTGAGGAAAACCCCCTGACAAAACCCCAGACAGAGCAGTCGGCAGCGGGATTCGAACCCACAACCTTCCGAATAGCATCGGTGAGCGCATCCACTGCGCCACGTGCCTCGGTAGATCCATGAGACCTTTTACCTGAACAAGCTACTCCCCAGCCCGAAAGAGATGCATCACTAAAAATCTCCATTGTGTAATTTATGGGTCTAATACATCTGCTTTCCTGAATGTGAGACTTCCACCAAAGAAAATCGTGCCGCAGTGTGGAGGGAATTGTCATAGTACTGTTGTACTCCCCCCCTGACTTTTTAAGAGCTAAGAATTTTTGCCTTTCAAAATTCTTAGTGTACAGCATCGCATAACGAACCGCAGGCGTTGCTGCAATAATCCTACCAATGAATTTTGCGAAGGTTCTAATTTTGCAACTAAGTTTAGTCTCTAAAGTGTGGATATCTTGCAGAATACGTTTTTGCTTCTCAACTGGAAGACTAACTGTCATCGAGCGAGAATTAAAAACAAGGCCTAGGTACTGTATACTCTGATTGGGTGTAAATCGGCTCTTTTTCTCGTTTATAATGAACCCTAGTTCTTCCAGTAGAGATCTTGTGGTGGCAACATTGGATAAACAATCGCGAAACGAGTCTCCAAGAAGTAAGAAATCATCTAGATAAACATTAGACCCAAAATTTTGTAGTCTAAGTTTGGCAAAAACTGGTTTCAATATTTTTGTAAACACTAAAGGAGCAGTGCAAAGCCCAAAAGGAAGACAATTAAATTGAAAAAGCTCTTCCTCAAAGTAAAATCTTAAAAACTTCCTATCCTTAACTCTAATTGGGACTAAGTGATATGCATCCTTTAAGTCCAGAGATGCGAAAAAACAATTCTCCGTAACTAACTTAGTAACTGATCTATAGTCTTCTAATTTAAAATGTTGAGTTTCTATGTACTGGTTAAGCTCTTTTAAGTTAAGGATTAGCCTGTGTGAACCATCAGGCTTGGGCACTAAAAAAATGTTCGACACAAATTGGCCCCTTGAAGGGCGACATTTTGAAATTACTCCATTACATAACAAACTAGTTAAATGAATTTTAACTACTGATAATTCAGTTTTCGACCATCGCATCTGCTTTGGCCGATAAGTTTGTATCGGTTGTTTACTAAAAGGTATAGTATAGCCCTCAATCCAAGAAAGAATAACCGGATCTCGGGTTATTCCACGCCAAGCATTTACAAAAAAACTTAATCTTCCGGCTGACCTGTTTACCTTCACTAACGACGATTCTGGTGTTGGGACTGATTTTGATAATATTTTCTGGGTAACTGTTGGTAGCGGTCTCTCAGTTGTGGTATGTAGTTTTTCGGTCTGCCCCGACTGGATGTGTTCAGCGTCCGAGGCAGACCCCTCGCATTTCCCTGCCTTTTAGGGAAGTTTTTAATTATAGGTTTTGGCTTCGTAGGTTTGAATTCAGTTGATGAACGTTCAAGGGTCTTCGCAGCCTTCATACGCTCTGTAAGATCATTTCCGAAAAGCCATTCACCTATAGGAGCTGCAGCAATAGTCTCCCGGCATTGCTTATTTAGGCCTGATCACTGAAAAAATTCTAGTACGTATTTTTGATTAATACGTTTCATTAGGTAAAATTTAATTGTTGGTATTAAAAGTTTGTTGAATATATGAAAACGTACATAGCTCATAAATAAATATGATTTGTAAAATTGTTAATATTATGAATGCGTTTTTATTAAAATAAATTCATAGATCAATATAATTTATTTATGAATATAGTAACCGGTACATTGGCTCTAACAATTAAATTTATTAACGTTTGAAAAAGAAACATTGATTTTAAGAGAAATTCCATTATTTAATGACCCTTAATTCGTTATTTAATTAATTTCCTCCAATTAATTCTTTGGTCCATAATAATGTTAGTAAACCAATTAAATGGATAATCTATTTGATAAAATATTTAATGCTCCTATAAACGCTTTCAATATTTTGACACAAAAAGTTAATTGTTCCTTAACATATTACGTTGTGTCAACAAACGTTTCATTAATGTAGTGAAAAATTCCAAGAAAAAAATTGTAGCGGGAACCGACCGTGACCGAGTCGTCTTCCCTGACACACCGGCCCGTTCCGATTCTATGAGGATGAGGATGAGATGTATTTATTTGCATAAAGAACAGTGCAGAAAATAATTCCCGGTTGTTAATTATTTGTGTTTTGACATTTTTGTGTAAGGTTGTGAGTAAATATTCACTATTCGCCTGCAGCAGGTGTTCTCTTGGTTATGTGAGGATCACGGAAAAAGCGATAAGTACCTATCAAAGAATTAAGTTTAAGCATTGAATAAAAACACTATAGAAAGCCTAACGCTTATGGAAGAAAGCGCGACAAATCTCACAAATCCCCTTGCACCCGCATTGGTTTGTGACCGCCGAACTCTCTTTGCGGTAAATAGGAGAAAGCAAATTTCATTCTTCTCAGTTCAAAATCGACTCTATTGACAGTGTTCCCATTATATTCTCAGTTCAAACTCTGTCGCGCTTTATTTCCACGGGGTTAGGCTTCTTATAGTGTTTTTATTCAATGGTTTAAGTAAGTACCCACTTATATAGGTATTTGTATTACGTAAACATGCTCTGTTACATTTGCAAGAATAATTTTCAAACATTAAAGCTACTCACTCATTCGGCATTTTAAGGAAATTCATTTCTTGCAAGTATACGACACTTACAGGTGTTGTGAGCGCGGTTGTGAGCAGAGTTTTTCATGCTTAGAAGTGTTTAAGAAACATGTTAACCGTAAACATGAAAAGGTCTGTTCACAACCAGCTCCTGCAAATGTAATTGAAGTTCTTCCTACTCCTGCATCTGCACCTGGTGTGCAATTGCAAATAAGTACATATGAAGGTGACATGAGTGACGTGTCTCACACACGTTACAATGAAGATATTTCGCCGAATGTACCAGAAAAGTTTGATGTTGAACATTCAGTTAGTACAATGTGCGCATTCGTTAGGGAGTTCGTCCTTCGATTACACAATAATAATAATTTTTCACGTAAAGATGTCATAAATATTCAAGAAAGTACAAAAGAGTTGCTTATTGAACCTCTTATGAATATTTTTATTACCTTTGCAAATGATAAGCTGCAATCAAATACTGCGGTTTATAATGATTTCCGTACTCTGATTTCTAACTTCAGGGATCCGTTTAAGGATTATAATAGCGATTATGTACTTTACAAAACCCTTAGAGTTCAGGGTTATTTAGAAAATGTGCAGGAATTTATTATTGATGAACAGACACGCGCTGTGCATCGTCTTGGAAGTCTAACTTATGACGATAAAAAAGTTTCAGGAATAGTCATGCCACTAAAATTTCAATTCAAACAGTTCTTTGAATTAAACTGCCATATTACTCGAGTATTAAGTGAAATGGACAACTTAAGTCGTAGTTCGAAGTTTACTAATTTTATTCAGGGCGAATTATGGAAACAGAAGAAAAAGTTGTACCCTGATAAAACGCTTATCCCATATTTTCTGTACCTTGATGATTTTGAGATTAACAATCCGTTAGGGTCTCATGGCAATGTTCACTCTGTTTGCAACATTTATTACTCATTTCCCTTCCTGCCAGTTCAACAGTCCAAATTAGAAAACGTGCATTTTGGGGGTTGTGTTAAATCCATTGATGTAAAGAAATATGGAAACGAAAAATGCTTTGAATATGTTGTTAATGAACTTCGATTGTTAGAAATTGAAGGGATAGAATTAAAATATGACGGCAATGCTACAATACGGGTTTATTTTATTTTAGGACTAATTCTTGGTGACAATCTAGGATTAAATTCTTTCCTTGGATTTAGTAAGTCATTTTCGGCAAACACATTTTGTAGATTATGTCGGGCCTGTAAAGCTGAAACACAAACAGCAATTGCCGAAGACGAACAACTTCTACGTACTATTGAAAACTATAATGCCGATTTAGACACCAATAATTTCCAGGAAACTGGTATTCATCATGAAGCCGTTGCTAATAAAATACCGTCTTTTCATGTAACGCAAAATTATTATGCAGATGTGATGCATGATTTTTTTGAGGGAATTTGTCATTATGACTTATGTCATGCCATTAAGTATTTTGTCACAACTGTGAAATTCTTCGATTTAGAGACGTTAAATTTTCGAAAGTCGACATTTCAATATGGACCTACAGATATCGATTATATATCAGGTGAAATTAAAAGTTTACATTTGGAAAAGAAAAAGCTGAACATGTCAGCTCGTGAAATGATGACTTTTATTATGTACTTTCCATTGATGGTTGGTGACTTAGTACCGAATGAAGATCCAGTTTGGAAATTCGTGATAAATTTAATAGAAATCATCGATATTTTGTTATGCTATGAAGTTACTGAGAAGTCTTTGGATTTGCTCGAAATCAAAATTAAATTACACAATAAAGACTTCATCCAATTATTTAATGATACACTCAAGCCCAAATTCCATAACCTTGTCCATTATCCTAGAATAATACGACAATCAGGTCCGCTTCGGAATATTTGGTGTTTTAAGTATGAAGCTAAGCATAAGCCGTTTAAAATTTATACACATTGCATTACATCAAGGAAAAATGTGTGTGTTACATTAGCAAAGAAATTTCAATTAAAATTCGCATACCAGTTGGCCCAGCATAGTAAGGAAAACAGTGACTTTTTAAAAACTAATGAAAAGGACAAAGTGGTTGAGGAGAATTACCGAAATATTCTTTACAAGTATCCAAATTTAAACAACAATGAGAGCCTGAAGTGTTACACGCGTGTTTCTTACAACAGTGTGAACTATAAATCAGGGGATTACATAGCCAGATTTATTAAAGGTGACATAGAATTGCACAAAATATTTGAAATCCTTATTGACACATCCCACAACCTATTTTTTTTAACTCGAAAATTAAAACATATTCAATATGATGATCATTTTGTCTCTTTCGAGGTTGATCCTATTCCCTTATCAGACTTTGTTATTGTTTCGTCAAATGATCTTCGCGCTTTGCTGTTGCGCACTGTAGAAGGCCGAAGCTTACTGGGGAAGAATCTCACGGAGTCGTCAAGGCAGCAGTTATGCCAAGTAATATCAAAGGAGATTCTTCGAGATGATGCTCAAAGGCCTGTCACGTGCTTTGTTTACCAATATTGGGCAAAGCAAATTGTAGAAAACTTTCCGAGAGAGTCGGCTGAAACATACTTTCACACTGCAGTCATAAACTGTCAGAAAAAATCCTTGGGGAAGTTGTTTCATTGTGTAGGCAACCTGAAGAAGAGATACAGAGCTCAGGGAATTATAATCCCTAGAGAGAAGTCTGCAAGCGGAAGTGAAAAATCTTACAAATCGCAACAGCTGAGGCCGATACCTGCGGCACTTAATACAAATTCGCCAAAGGAAAACCTAGAAGAAGACCTTCAGTGGTTGAGAACATCAACGGAACAGCCGTAGTGTTAACTAAGTGGCGGTTAACCGCGAAAGAAAGATTGCGCCGCGTTCTCGCAAACGACGGGCCTAGTATTGCAGATTATATGGAAGAATTTCCTTGTATGAAAAAAAGTTACGCCCCAAGGCTTGTGAGTATAAAACTTTCCATTCATATTTGCATGTGGCATCTATTGAAATAATTATTGTGATTTTCGTTTGTTCCAGTACAGATTTTTCTACTTATTTGTTTTTGTTGTAGATTGCAGCAGACTTTGAGGTAGCTTTTCCCAACCTTCAGAACAAGCTTTATGAAAAGTTTCCAACAATCACAGCAAAGCTGTACGAACTTGGAAAACGGAAGAAGAGTAAAGACAAACTACTGCCTTCACTTTTCGAATTGATTAACGGTACGTTTTAAAATCTGCTTATAAAAGGACAGTAGGTAGTGCATTTGCAGATTTGGTGTATTATTAAATAGTTTTTAATCTATTTTCGTTTTATAATGCCATTATTATGACACCTCTGTCAAACACAAAAATCAAAATTTAGAGTAAAGTACCTACCTAACTAGAAAAAATGTTGTATGTATCTCTTGCATAAAATACTTTTTTTTTAAAACAGTTTCGAATGCACACATTTTTTCAACTGAAATTAGTGAAATAAAATTGGCTGTCCGGCTGAGATCTCAGCAATTACTTACAATAGATAGAGGCTTCAAGTTTTTACTAAAAGCTTTCTGCTATAGTGTAGATGTGCAGGCTCTAGTCTATTTTGAATTAGATTACTCGTGAAATTAGGTAAAAAAGGACAAATTTTATTTGAATTTCATAAAGAAGGCTTTTAATAAAAGTTTGATTTAACGTTTTGAACTTTGCTAATAAAGTACTGATCTGTATAATACCAAAAATGCGCTGTAATCACGCATTATGCTGATTTGATCATACTTGTTTATTATACAAAGCGATCAAAAATGAGTGACCGTCGAGTCACCTTTGGAAATTTTGTTTACAAGGGAAATCGTACTTAACTTGTACTTCCAAAGGCGACTCGACAGTCACTCATTTTTGATCGCCCGATACTTCACTAATAAATTTGTATATTTCCAGAATCAGAAGACGCATCTAATCTGGGTGCATTTCTCCTCATCCCCTATCTTCTAAATGTTCACACAGTAAGATCGTCGCATAAGAAATGGCGGCTTTCACATGTAGAGGTGCGTGATAATTTTATCGGCATAGTCTCCGACGACCTTCACGTGGAGGAAGAACTGAAAACTAGACAAAGTATAAAAGAAAGTAAGAAACTAACATTACAACCTTACATTTTGGCTGTTGGGCCTACATTAAAAAATATAAATAGATACATCGTTGTAATAAACGATATTACATACTCTTTTGACACTGTTTTGCAAGCAGTTGATACCTAATTGTTTTAAAGCGATTTGGGTGATGAATGCTGCATATGCCCCCGAATCTAAATTTGTGTGGACTTTTATTCAAAAATTTTGTTACGAACTAAACTCTCCTCACGATGAAGTCTCTAACTGTATTTTAAGTCTCCTCACAGACGTAGAACAAGAGTAAATACTGCCTGTTTGTTTTCTTTGTAACTCGGACGTAATCTTAAAGAATCTGCGCGATAATTTCAATTTGCGACATAGTGACCATGCACAGAACGAAAAAAGTTATTTTTTATTAATAAATATGTTATATCGATACATTTGTTTACATGTAACTCTAAATTATACAGGTAAGTTTTTGAATTCTAAGAGTTAATCTCTTTAGTTGTTAAATAGAGATCACCAAATTCTATTAATTTAATTGTTAACTATGGGTAAGTTATTGCATGTGTTCTTACAAATAATGTACGAAAGCATTATTATTATCAAATATTGTATGACTCAATCATGTCTTTTTAGTTAAACATGTGTATATAAATAGTAAACGGTGGAATATTGATATTGAGGTATCTTGTATTAATACTCAACATATACTATACGTGGTGTAGCACTTGATGAGTATAGAAAATCTCAGTGGCGATAGTGACTACACTTCAAAACTTAATAGTTAACACATCGTCTTAATACCTAAAAACGTTCACGAATTAAATAACAAGGTACGCTTTATCCTACACTAGTAATTTAATTCCTAATGAAGCAGATAACATTTATTTGAGGTTTTACGAACGTTGCATTTTGCTTATTACACTTTTATAAGACATTAACGCGTCTTGACTTGAGCTTCTCGCTTTATTCAGTCATCATTTATTCATTTGGTCGCCAGAATTAATTAATATTCTAAACAGTATACCGTAAGTTAAAATGAGTGAGTGTTATTGTAGTGACTTACTAACGCAGTGGGGCTATTCAGAATATATAGAAAAATTTGAAGGTAAGTGCGATCTAAAATGATTTTAAGTTGCTTGTGTGTTGCGGTGTTGTATAGTGTCAGCGACGACGCTAGGTTTTATTTACTGGGTGGGCGAAGATAGGCAAGCAGATATATTGCTTGGGCGAACAAAAAAATGCACCGACGAATTTTAAAACAGTTTTGCTGATGTTATTGATTTACTTACATCTACTATCACTAAATTTAATCGGTGATTATAACTGTTTATACCAATAAGGCTTAAAATTTCTGTTATCGGAACCAAACTTTGAAAAAGGATATTCAGATAAAATTGGTTGTCTTGGAGTTTCCGACTTGGATTGCGAAATGTCGGAGGGATATCTATTATAACTTGTAATAGTAGTAATACTAATATTACTTAAATTTGAATTAGCTGTAGGCATGGCATCGTCAACATTATCTAAAAAATAACAAATATCTATGTAAATAGTACTATAACTTACGAGATTTTAGCTTTGATTACCCTGGCTCTCCTTAATATGATCGTATTCTGAAGGTTCCTCATGTTCTGCAGTTACATTGGCACAACTTACACTTTCTATTTCATTTTCGCCAACAATCTCGTCACCAAAGCCCTCATTTGGTTTGAACTTTTTTGATGGTTTCAAAAAATAATTAAGCAGTGTCCTCTTTTCACTCATTTTTTTTAAATCAACAGATATCTGTATACCACTAGTCAACCATACACAAGTGCACGATGCAAATGCAATAACACTAGCACAACAGTTACTATTTAGTATTTACTGGAGGCTACCAGAAAAAGTGTAAAACTGAATTTGCATTATATATATATATATAAGATAAGAAAGAATTTACTGAGCTATTTCCGTTCCGAGAAGGCGAGAACTGAGAAGTGCAACCTTTCATTTAATATTGTTGCAAAATGCAAATCCTACGTACCATAAATTTTATTTAAAAATTCAAGTTCAATGATATCTAAAATCACATTTAAATTAACCGGAATTTTAATATGCAATAGAGAAGCATTTATTTCAAATATTTAACTTTGACATAAAAACAATGTTATAGGTTGTACTTATTGTAATAAAAATCATGTACATTGCCATGGTAATTAATTTATAGTATGCATTTTAATAACCTCACAACCTTTCCACGCACTATTTGCCCACGCTGTATACATTTACAACATACATACTATATGAAGTGACAATGCTATAATAGTGCTTTTATTTTACAGAAAACGCTATTGACAGGGAAGTGTTATTTAATATTTCCGACACAGATTTGGCAACTATAGTTCCTAAAATAGGTCATCGAGCGAATATTTAAAAAAAAATTAAAGAAGAAAAACTCAGGCTTATTACTGGTTGTCAGAGTGATGTCACTATTTTGTCAGATTCATTGACACAAAGGTAAATTTGATTTTTTTCCTATGTGCAAGTGATATTAAAATATTTTTCAATAAACTAGGAAGGTTGAGTTCCCTAAAAATTCTTTTAAACAAGTTTTTGGATATCTTCTTATAAATTTTGTGAAAATAATTAAAGTACTACTCTAAAAAATTGGAAATTGACATAATTGGGTATTTTTTAAATAAAGTCATTTATTAACCTCTTTACTTACGTGTATCAAACACATATGCCTACTTCAAAATATGTTATAATAACGAATTATAACAGCGTATACATTAACCTAGTATAGAAATGAATTAATGACATTAGATTCCAGTATAGTCAATTTTATTTTAAGACATTGTGCTTTATTTTTTAGGGATCATGTGTTTTCATCCACAAGAACGTCATCCTCATTAACATCCGCGGAATATGATAGGTATAAATATATATTAATAAAGAGAACAATCACTTATTTTGTAATTTTCAGTGATTCACACACATCAGTAATTCACAGCACACCGTTTACTTTTCCGCCCAACGACACATTTATGTAAGTTTTTTTGTATGTCTCTAATATCAATTACGTTTTTTATTTTGAGTTTTGTATTTTAGGAATGTGACATTACTACCAGGAACTTCTACATCATCCACGGATTTATCTACTCTTGAAAACTATACCTTGGAGCCCATTGAAGAACTACCTGCTCCCTCAATAAATTCACGGGAAGCCGAGAGGTATATGTATAAAAATTAGAAAGGTATTTTTAAAGGAAATAATTTTCAGTGAAGCAAACACTTCTTTGGTTCCCCTTCCAAAAAAACCTAGACTGGATACTATTGAAAGTTTCGATTTGCAGCAACTTCTTCAAAAAACACGCACAGGGCAGGCGATAGTCAATATATATAAAGTAAAAAAAGTTTTAGATAGCATCAGTCAGTCCTACTTAGTAGACATTATAGTATGTTTCTTTCTTAATAACGAACATTGGTAAGTGGGTAGAAAGCAAGCAACATATAATCTTATAACACCCATCGTATTTAATTAGGAGACTGACTAATGATGACTTTGAGGTAATCGCCGGAAAAATAATAGCACTTTTTCCAAATGAAAACAAGGATGTATATTTTTGCCCTCCTATATATAAAAAATTTTCAAGGGACCACAAATCTGAAGCTGCTAGAGGCAAATTAGTGGATAAGTACAAGAACAAGCTTACCTATTTAAGAAAAGCGGGAGTTATTCCTTTAATGCGACATTCTAGCTGTTCACCGGAAAAAGAAGTCATTTCAGAGGGTAAATGAAAAACTGTAAATATTTGTATAAAATATAATGACTTTTTGATTACAGATTTTAATCACAACGATGATTATGTATGGTTAAAAAATAATATTGAGCCGTGGAATGATGTCCAATCCTGTTGGAGAAGAACATTTTCATTACGAAACAAATCTTTAACAGATGAAAAAGACGTTGCACAAATTTACGAAGATTGGCCAATTCTAAGAAATCCTTTGGGATATACATTGGTTTGTAAATAAACAACTTCTATATACGCAAATATAATTTCATATTATATAGATCGAAGACGATTTTAAACGAATTTATCCTGAAAACTATAACAATCTATTATTAAATTTCGAACAAGTAGTCGCTAAAGTAATCGAGCTACGACAGACACATTTGTCAATTCGTGACAAACCTTGGGTTGAAATTTTTAAATCCACTACTACTACGGATGATTACAAATCATACACTGCTCTTCTATTGTTATCGGCTCTAATTCCATGTACAACGAGATTAGTTAAAAAGAAGAAACAATGGAAACCTAATTGTGACGACGCTATCAATGGAATAATTATAAAAGTAGAGGTAAGAGTGTAAAGTTTTTTGTTTAGGTATTTAACAGTAAGTAATTACTTATAGAATATTGGTGACATCGACGCCGCAATAAGACAGAGAAAGCAAGAACATGAAAAAAGTGGTTTACCGGTTCAGCCGTATATGATTGTTGAAATTGAAGGGTTGGATGTCAAACAAATTGTATGTATCATAAATGGAAATTTGTATTTAGTTCCATCGATAAAGAAAGGAATCGATACATGCTTTAAGTTTACAATGGTTTTAAATTTGAAATATACAGCTGAAAGTGAACATTTGTGGTACTTTATACAAAGGGCTATTTACAATATTGAAACTAAGTACGATCATAAAATTCCGGCTATTATTAGTATTGTTAACCAGTTAAAAACTTTTAAATAAGCCTGTGTGTTAGGTGCAAAGGAATGGAAAACTTAAAGTGTGTAATCTGCAAAAAAAAAATTAAATTTGACGATTTAATAAATCACATAAAGTTTTATCACAAATATAGTGAAAATTTTGAATGTGCGATATGTTTTCGTATTTACACTAATATTTATGTTCTTGAAAAGCACTTTAAAAGGATTCATGCAAAGTTTCCACACATAGTCGAAAAGCCCGATTGTAATGTCGCAAATAGTGTATGTAATAATGACGTGATCTCTATGACGGAAAATGTTGCATTTGTTGACGATTCTATCGCAAGTTGCGCCCCAAGTTTCTCACAAACTTCTACAGCAGCACACGAATTAGTACATCGTTTTGTATCAGAGTTGTATAACAAAAATATAACAAGGAAAATTATTCAGCAAATAGTAGAAAACTGTAATGGTCTCTTTTCGGATTTCACTGATAACATTGTTGATAGGGTAACAAATATTTTATCACCCTGCAACAATAGTTTAGAACTTAATAAAATTGTTGATTACATAAAACAAAATCCATTTGAAAACTTAACTACAGAATATAAAAGGTTTCAGTATTTTGAAAATAGTAATTGCTTAGTTAAATCAATCCCCTTTTTAATAGGTTATCGGTTAGATAAAAGTAGCACAGGTTCAGATCTACAGTACAAACGTTGCGAAGGTGAAATAGTTCCTCTGCGACGTGTGTTAAGATTTTTTCTGCAACTACCAAATGTGTTTGATGCTATCAACAATTATATTGCTGAAGAAGAAATGTGTGTAAGCGAAAATTACTACAGTTCATTTTTTAACGGAGATATGTGGCTTAGTATTAAAGACAAGTACATTTCTAAACTCATTTATCCACTATTACTCTTTTTTGATGATTATGAGTCCTGTAATCCTTTGGGCACTCATGCAGGTGTATACAAAATCGGAGCAGTATATGTTTCAATTTTGGGAATACCTCCTATATTTGCCTCACAATTAGAGAATATATTCCTTTTTGGTTTATTTCATTCTAACGATAGAACAACTTATGGTAACAAAGATGTATTTAAACCATTTATTGACGAATTAGCGTTTTTAGAAAATGATGGAATTTATATTGAGATCAACAACAAAAGTATTCAAGTATATTTTGCTTTAACGTTAATACTCGGCGACAATTTAGGTATTAATTCTGTTACCGGATTAATAGAAAGCTTTTCTGCTGGGAACTTTTGTCGTAAATGCTATTGTACAAAAGAAGAGAGTGAAGTTATGAAATGTGAAGGAAACTACAAAATAAGAAACCCTGAGAATTATTTACTACATAGCCAAGAAAAGTCAAATGGAGTAAAAGATCCTTGTAGGTGGAATACGCTGAGTAGTTATCATTGTACCACTAATATTACTTTTGATATTATGCATGACCTTTTTGAAGGCATCTGCAGATATGAACTAGGTTTTTTATTATACTACTTTATAAAATCAAAGTCATACTTTACGTTAGATCAGTTAAATGAAAGAATAAAATATTTTGAGTATGAAAATAAGGTTGATTGTGGAAACCGTATTCCCTTTATAAAAAAAAGTCATTTGGATCGAAAATTACTTATTTTAAGCGCTAGTGAAATGTCATCTTTTGTGACTTACTTACCATGTTTAATAGGAGATTTTGTAGATGTCGATGATCAGGGCTGGCTTCTATTTGCACTTTTATACGATATTATTCGTATCGTTACAAAGAGAGTAGTTAGTAAAAATGAAATTACTTATTTAACACACATAATAATTGAGCATCATGAATTATATGTAGAAATATCAAGAGAGAAGCTAAAACCAAAACATCATTTTGTTATTCACTACCCTAACTGTATAAGACGAGTAGGTCCACTACGTAACTTTTCTTCTATTAGATTCGAAGGATTTCATAGAATTGGAAAGAATAATGCACATATTGTTGCTTCAAGAAAAAATATTATAAAAACAATCAGCTTGCGACATCAGCTAAAACTGTGTTACAAATTTATATCAAATAAAGGGTTTCAGGATGAACTTGTGCTCGGGCCTCCAAGCAATGAAAGTATGAAATCCCTAAAGAAACTTAATTATTATGACATAAAAGAAATAACAGCTGCTCTTGAATATGTGGATTTTAATGGGGTACGATTTAAGATAAATACGTCAATTCCATTACCATCAAACGATATAGACCCTGATTTTTACCTCATTAAGTACATTATTTGCAATCGCTTTAAAAATATTTCTCTTCTTTGTAATAAATTAGATGTGCATGGATTTTCCACACATTTTCAAGCTTACATTATTGCAAATGTGAATATTTCAGGAAACTTAAAATTAATTTCTTTACAGACTTTAAAAAATATCATTCCTTTAGCACTACATAAAAATTGTAGCGAGATTTTGTTATTCAACAAAAGTTAAATATTTTTGTAATTATTTTTATAAACATAGGTATGTATATAGTTTTGTTCCTCATATGACTGATATTTTTATTACTAGATATAAAAGAATGATTTTGTTTATTATGTTAATTTTTTTGTTATTTTTTCTTAAATAAATAAGCATACTCTCAAAAAGTGAATTAATTATTACACCTTTAATGGATACCTCTAAGGCAATTAATTTATTATATTTAATGGGTGTGGGTTATGCTACACAGCAATAAATTAATAATAAATTAACAGCTTATTAACAGCTAATATCAAATTAATTATTATCATTCTAGTGTATGTAACAATTATCAAATATGTATTTGTCAATAAATAACTTGTGTTTCAAAAAAAGCTATGCTTTATTCTAGAGAACAAAATTTTAATTACACAGTACGCTACCACAATTTTTTTGAAAACACTAGAGATTTTACTGTTAACCTATACAAAATAATTACAACAGGTAATAAAATACATAGAAATACTGGTGTGTTAACTATAAATTTTTATTGGGTAACTATTATTACATCTTATTTTTTTCACAAGAAAATGAAATTCTGGTGGGCAGAATATTCACAGTACCTTAAGAACCATTATTTATAAACCACTATGAGATTGGCAAAATACAACATTACGTTGAGATACATACAACTCTAATGCGGTTAATACTACTCTACCTTTTTCTCTGTGTACAGTGATGCCAAATGAAAAACTTGTATATTTAGTGCACAAACTGCCACTGCGTCATCTCACCTAGTGCGCCAACTCTCCTTGAATTACCCTAACTATTGACGATGTGCGTAGAGTTGCATTCTTTTTCGCAGAACAACTGAAACTATCCCACAGATTCACAGAGAAAAAGGTTTATTTACACGAAACAAAAATTATTTGTCATAAACAAATTTGTTGTTGGTATATGGCGAAGCAAATATTTATTTCACTGATCTAAATAGTTTGTTTGATTTCTTCAATAAAATATTATGTTCAATTAATGCTATAAAGATACACGATGTAAATAATTTGGTCTTTGAATAAACTATGCATTTTTTCAACGTAACTTGGTCATCTCTTTGGCGTAAAACCGATATATTTTAATTGAATGCAATTAATGTATTGAATGTAACAAAATATTATTTGAATCGAGACTTAAAACACTTTGTTTCAAATAAAGAGGAGTTTTGTTCAAAAAAATGATTTATTTATTGCAAAGAACCTATTATTCAGCCTATGGGTCAATTTATTTAGCACAAACTTTAAACTTGTTTCAACCAAAGTAATTTTTGTTTATATTAAAAGATATTTATTACTTTTCGTAATAAAATTTATTTCAATAGAAAAAACGTTTATTCTAAGCAAATATATATTTATTTAATGTAATACTACTTATTTCAGTGCTAGGTGGAAACTATACATAATATACAATATTATATAATATATAAAACAAAAATTAAAAACTTAATAACACATTCTTTGGCAATAAAAATAGTATTGTCGTATATAGAAAAAAAATAAAACATGATCCTTATTGAAGGGCACATATGACTTTAGTTCCGTTTGCCATAGTATGAATGTTATGACATAAGTGGTTTGGAAGGCGGTCTATGGGCATAACGATCAAATTTATTGAATCATGCGTTGACATACACTGAAAAAAGTCGGTATTTTAAACTAAAGGACTAGTGGTTCTTGGAACACATTTCTTTGAAAGAAGGGCCGTACTACTTAATTGAAGAAGAGATATCTTAATATGAGCAAATATTGAATCTTAAACGTACACCACGATGCATTTGAACTTTTATTGTCTTAATTGAAAATCATGCGGTCGTGATGCAAGGTATAATACACACTCATAAAAATCATTTGGGAAATTTACCTTTAAAATAAGGGGCAACTATGTTACCTCTTATCTTAAAGGTATTTTTTTCTGTAAAGTATTTCTGCCTAAAAAAGTGTAATATTACCTTTCATTGTGAAATATATCGGGTAAATTTCCATGCTATGTAATATTACCTAATAAATTTACATTTGCCGTGTAATATTACCTTTCATAGTGAAAAATATGGAGTAATAATGTCCATGCAATGTAATATTACCTAACAAATTTACATTTGTCGGGTAAGTTTCACAGTAATTTTACCTACGAAGTAAAAATGTACAGGAAAATTGCCATAAAAATTACATTTGGAAGGTAAAGCTTCCTGGTAATTTTACACACAATGAAAAATCTTTGGGAAATTTACCTACTTAAAATAAATACCTAAATATATTATAAATTTATTCATTTGTTTAAATTGCCACAGTAATTTTGCAGTTAAAAATTACGAAATTTTTTCTCAAAAATTATAAAGCATTGAAGATATTCGCAGTATATATGTGAGTAACTATTGGTAGCTATCCATCTTATAACGACTCAAAAAGGGGTGATATTGACTAAGTGGATTGATAAAGACACTAAACCTTCCCCATACTTCTTTTAATTATTTCAGGTATTAGATTAAAGGCATTAGGTGACAGCGACTATAGTTTCGACCCGAAGGTCATTATCAAGCTGAAATATTATAATTTGAAACAATGACTAAGACCTAGGTGACCTACCTTAAGTTTAAAGGAACATATAAAGGTGGTTGAAAATTACATATTAAAATGGTACATTTGGTTATCAATATGCTGTAAAACATGTGTTAAAAACGAGTCTAGAAAATAGTTATACTTACGGGGAAAAATTACTAATTAGAACATGGGAACAATAACAATATTAACAATTTAAAAACTTTTTGTCCTCACATATTATAAAACAATTGTTTAAATTAAAGAAATCCACTTAGTCATTGTTTCAAATTATAATATTTCAGCTTGAAAATGACCTTCGGGTCGAAACTATAGTCGCTGTCACCTAATGCTTTTAATCTAATACCTGAAATAATTAAAAGAAGTATGGGGAAGGTTTAGTGTCTTTATCAATCCACTTAGTGAGTAACTATGTTACGTTGACTAGGCTTGAACACTGCAGTCGAGCACGGAACAGTTTATCTTCAATTCCCTCAAAAGATAATAAAATAATGCACGTACTATGTATATATAATAAAATCAAAAATAATACAAATAAAAAACAGTACCTAACTTATAACTTAAAAATATATACCTATATACACTAAATGAAACAAAACTTCATCTTCCTGAACCTAAAAATAAAAAAAAATGTAAATACTTAAAACATTTTGAATATACTTACGTATAATCTATAATCTCGTTGCCTATTCATCTCGCAGTTTGTTTAAAAAAGTGGCTATCTTTGCTTTCGCACACGATTTTCTATTGCGTGTGCCTTGCTGTGGGTGAATTTTTAGAAAGTAACTCTGTATCAATTCCATTGTATTCGCAATTTGTTTGGGATACTCCAGGTTAAAAATGTAATATAACGCAAACATTTGCTGCAGCGCACTCCTTAAATTGCAATTAGAGTTAACTTTCTGACCTTCCATTACGACCAGATATGTTTTTTGGTTATCATCTACAGCTAAAAAGACAAAACTGACTGCATTTTCACAGACATTATATACTAACCACTCTGTAAACATGCAATAGCAGGAGCGTTTGTCGTCGTAGACTCAATATCAGATTCGTCCTAGAAGTAAAAAAAACATTCAGTTAAAATAGAAAGGAAATTTTTTCCATTTTCCAGAGCGCACCATCATGTGGAAACCAACAGTTTTCAACTTTTGTTTTATTTTGTATCATACATCGTTGTATTCGAAATAAAAAATTTTACGCAATATAATATGTACTTTTTTGCGGGTTATATAAAAAATAAAGATTATGATTTCTCTGAAACGAAACTAAAAATCTCCCAACGATGTCTTGTAGAGCTCAAAAAATGACAATGCAAGTGTTTTAAATTTTTTTAGATTTCATTCAGAAAAAAATAAAAGCAAAATCGGTGAATATTCGGAAGACACTTTAATTGCTCCACTTTTCCATTATTTGACCATTGTCCTATTTTCTATGGTTTCCCATGATAGACATTCTTATCTTAGGCACGGTGCATATACAGTGTTTCAAAATAAAGTCCAATATTTTATCCACGTTTAGTACTCATAAAAAATATGCACGACTGCACATTTTTGTTACTATTAAAACATATTCGAAAACAGACTGCACGAGATTAATGACATAATATCGGAAATTCTTTTAACACACTATATATATTTTATATTAGGTAACGCCATTATACCTATCTTCATTTGACAAGTAAATACATGACGGAAACCATCGTTTCCAAATAAAATTGCTTGCCATATAAAGACCGATAAATTGGCCGTCAACAAAACATTCACTCAAGCCACACCTCTTCTTCCATACTGTAATAATACAAAAATACTTACACGAATATTGCAGTATAAAACTGTTAAAGTTTCCTGAAAGTATTTCACGATAATCTGCAAGACGGTCACAATTACTTCATCCTCTTCCCTATCAACGGGAATTTCCTTAATCCATTTCTTATTCAGTCCAAAAGTAAAAAACTTGTTAGATTTTGCAATTAAAGTGTCTGTTAAATTATTAATGCTATGGCCCATTAGTTTTTGGTAATGAAAATATATTCCATTTTTGCATAATAAGATCGGCCATGTTTCTTTAATACTCTGCAGTGATGGTGGTGGTAAACTATTTAAAAATAAACGTTGCTTAGGATACGATTTGTTCATCATGTCTTGTGTTATCTCGTCAAAAGTTTCAAAATCGGCTGTTCTAAGGTAATTTTCCATGTCATCGTTGGTCAAATTATTTTGTATTTCTGGTTGCCAACTTACACATCCAGATTTCAAGTTCATCATTTTTCTTCTTTTGTTGACGGGAATTGGGTTATTTTTCGGTCGCTGTAGTCGTTTTCTTGAAGCTGTTACGTACTTAATTCTTTCTTTCACCTGATTGTATGTTGTAATTGCGCCGTCTCCGATCACAGTGCCATCGTCGTCTCTATCTTGAAAAATTTTAGGGAATTTATCTACGAGTTTTCTTGCAATAATTTTGCATGCTGTGTTGGGAACAAAGCCTTCGGCCACTTCGAGCATTTCGTCAGTAACCAAATGTATCATGTCTTTTATTGACTGACGACAACGTACACCATTTTCAAAATTCTTCATTGCTGTAGAACTCATCTTTTCGTATGGAATTTTGAATGACAGCCACGTATTTTCACTTATTGTACGACTACTACAAGAGCTTGGCGTGGATGCCCTTGTGCTACCACTGTCAGTATCAAATTCAGATAGGTTTTCCACAGTTAATGCAGATGAAGCGGAATCATGCGAATGCATACTCAGATGCGTGTCATCCGCTGCTCTACTCCATTCTTCAGTTTCCTCTAGCACAAGAAAAATTTCCTTATGAAGTATTTTTACAACTTCGTCGTCATCTATTTCGGTCCCATCAGATTCCAAAACTAAGCGTACTCCGTTAATATTAAGTTTTTTGGAAGCTATAACAAATTAATAAAAATACTATGTAAAAACATTGAAACACGTTATATACCTTCAACAATGAGTGTTTTGCACAATTCTGATGTAGATTCGTTCAGGAAAACGACTTTTTTTGCTGTACGCCTTACATTCCACGTTTTGAATATATACGCCATTTTTACAGAAGATTGACTGCGAACAAAAGTAAAAAACAAACATCTCTTACAGGTGAGATTATAAGATTATAATCACAATTGCATCTTTGTAAAATGCATAATGCACTGAGGTGGCAAAGTCCACCCACCCACACTTTTGACATTACGCTTTTTACCAAATTTTCCATATAATTAGTTTTAAACTTAACTAAAATTAAATTTATGTTATGTCAACATATGCAGTAAAATAAAATAATAAAATAATATAAAATAAACAATTCCAATGACATTTCATTCAAAATACAAAACAAAGAAATTTGACAAAAATACAAAGTGTATATAAGACAAAAAAATTGGATCATGAGAGATACTACCGTAAGCATGAAAAAAATTAATCTGAATATTCGAATGGTGCCGATTTAAACGAAAATAATAACTTATTACTGGAACTTAAATACACAAATAACGGTTCATGTGATAACAGGTCACCAAAATTACACCCAGTAATAACATTATTATTTACTTTTTCAGTTTCTTCGAACAGACCTAAAGCCTTGTTCCGAGTGATTTTAACTTCATTTCCAACAAACAGTAAGTTAGTATAGAACTCATTGACTATTATATGTTTAATACGACATAATACAAAGTCATCGTCTTCTGTTTTAGCTATACATACATACATATTTTTGCTAAAAGTTATACCTCGAAATGTCACTCTTTGCGATACTAAAAGTTTTTGGTTTAGTGGTAATGGTGATGAATTAGATATGCATGCTGCTACCACAAGCTCAAAATCTTCAGAGACATATGGAACAGCATCGTCAGAAGTCGCTTTGTTAGTAAAAACGGTTCCATATCCGTGCGTCATAATTTGACTTTGCAATAATTGATGCCTTTCGGATAGAGTATGAAGCACATTTTTGAAATTTGGAGAATGCTTCAAGACATTTTTAAAATAAAGGTGTTTGCTTTCAAATCTGAGAGTCCACAAATGTTTCAATGGCCCAAATTTTTTTATTAGAAACGGGTAGTGTTTTAAGTAATGATGTTTTGGTCTTAAAGGTGTATTTGAAAACAGTGTGGTTCTCAATTCTATATAATCGTAAATCATTAAGCGCAAATGTGCTATATGAATCACCGACAGTTTTGGCGCCATTAATAGTAAATTAATTTCGCGCAATTTTAACAACATTTCCCACGCGGGTTCGTCCTCGAAAGAGAGTTCATGTAAAGCAAAGGGAAATATTTGAAGTATCCTACAATTTTCTGATGCATTACCGGGTAATTTTTCAGACTTTTTAATTGTAGGTATATTTTCATACTTTGATTCAGAGATAAACCTTATTTTTTGTATTTTGTCGTTAAAATAATCGTAGGTAAAATACTTTTTTGCAATAAGATTATTCAAGCAAAGCATAAAGTCACATTGCAACACTCCTTCATAAACATCATGAGCCAAACATGGAGGCAAACCGGGGTTACAAACATGGAAAAACATACACTTATTTAAAACAGAATCGAATTTAACACCTTTTGACGGCTCGCCTGATGTCGCTGCAATAGCCACATCTATTTCATATGAGTGTTGAGTTCTTAATGAAATGGGGTCGGTGTAACTATTTTGAACCGACATTAGTTTTTTACTAATTTCGCAGTATCGGCACATATGACTACTCGTACTAAAATTTTCCACGAAACCACCAATTTGATGACTTCCTAAGTTGTCACCGCAAACTGCAACCACTGTACCCTTTATGATCTCATCTTTTATTAAAATTCCTTCTAATTCCAAAATGTTAATATCTCGAATAATAATATCCATAACTTTATCAAAACCAAACTTTTTAATTGAACTTTCGTAACACAGCGCAACTAACTGAATATGGTCAGTTTTGCTTCTGTTGTAGGAAGGTACATTTGCAATCGTCATGTATATTCCAACAATCTTGTGAATTTTCCTGGACGAACCCAATGGATTACATATCTCAAATGCGTCTTGATAAAGTATGATCTGAAAAGCTGACGGATTATCCTTAAAAAATGTACTATTGCGGTAACATTCGCCATCAAAAAAGTCCGTATATACGTTTTTCTGACAAGTTCTTATGGTTTTCCATTGATCATAAAAATTAGTGTTTGCCATTAAGACTTTTATGGTTTCTAATATTGGGATATACATAAAAAACACCTTTTTTTTGCCACTCTTCTCTAGTAATACTTCAACAGGTTCTACGTAATTAAACTCCTTTTTGTAAAATTTTTTTCTTATGTAAGGAGACCTTAATACACCATTTGCAGAATTGTGTGCGTGATCAAATAAATTTTGGTTTTTTACGACCTTAATAACATCCGGAGATATTTTTTTAGCTTTAAGGAAGCTGCATACATTTTTTTGGCTAATGTCGTAAATATCCGATATCCCATCAATTAATGTTTGCAATGCACTATCTGTTAAAAAATGCTTGGCTTGTAAAGTCAAATAAGTATTTGCCAACGAATGTACATACGTATTCTTTAGGGCCAATTCAAAATCGCCATTTTCATTATAGTCTGTATCGTCCTCAGGTATGCTTATATCGTTTAAAAATGGATTAATATCTTCGGGGGTTACAATACTAAGTGACGAGGTATTCTTATCTGTTTTTGTCTCTGTGGCATTGTAATGGTTTCTATAAAAATGAGATTTAAAATTTGAAACACGAGAAAATTTTTTTGTGTAAGCACAATTCGAAAAAGGGCATTTTATATCAATATTATTTTTAATATGGTTATACATATGTGACAAAAACTGATTATGATTACTAGTAGCTGGGAAGTTACAATTTTCTACATTGCAAATGTACGTGTCGCTAACAGTGGCATTGCGAATTTTAACCTTTTTTTTCATATGAGTTCTATACAAATGCATCTTAAAGCTTTTATAGTTACTATACTGTAAGTAACATTTTTCGTACTTGCAGTAATATCGCACATTAACTATGTTTCTGTGCAGATACTGGTGTGTATTGTACAGTTCGATTGTTGAAAAATGTCGCGTACAAGTACAACATTTAAATACAGGCGCCATGAAAATTAAGGAATTAAATGGTAATATTTACTTACATATACGTCCGTAACCAAACGGCACCAGAGAACCACAACCACTATGAACGATATACCGACACGGTCTAAATTCACTAATTCAGTATTATAAAGGCACTCGTTACTCGTAGTTGAAAAGGTGCAATTCAGCTCACTTATTTTTAAAGCGGTTATAATGTCGCCAGCCTCGTAGTCGCATTTTATTGTTTTTGCTGATAGCGCGTTTACGCTTACACAGGAGCACTGTATTTTGTCAGAGGAAATGATCTCATCGCTTATCATAAGAATTTGTTAGTCTTTGGAATTGAGCTAGGTTAGTAGCAGATCCTGTTTACAGAGTAAATCCTAAATCCAATCGCGTAATTTCCCTGTTAATACCATTGTGCAGGTCAATCAAAATATATTGAATTGATTCTTCAATGTAAAGTCTACCGGCGTAAAATAATTTATAAGTAATATTAACCCTTATAAGAGTAAATTTATAGGCTCAGATTCAAAAATCCAACAACAGAATTTGCATTTTAAGTGGGTAAATGAATTTATAAAAGTAAGATTATGTTATGATGAAATACTATAAAAAAGGTGTTTTCGTATCTCGAAGGTGAAAATATCTTGTGGAAAAAAATTTACCATAAGATAATAGGACAATGTCTGGCTTGTAGTTACAAAAACGCGTGAGATTGGGAATATATTATGATATTTATGGTAACATCAACTTAATGTAGTAAAACTACTGCTTATTGGAAGAAGTACCTTTACCTTAGGGGCAAATGCACATCTTTTTAAGGGTAAATTCACTTT